ATTTCCTGAGCCGTATCAAGAAACAAATAAGTTTGACTGATATCAGGATCCATGGAGTTAGTCAACCAGGTCATGACCAAGGCATTTTCAGTCATCCATTTATCATAATCAGGTTCATTAGCTTCGGGTTTTTCCTTTTTTCCATCAAGATACCCCATTTTCCCTTTTGCTTGGATAAACAGCTTGACAGATTGATGCCATTGCACATAATTCTTACCGTTTAAACGGTGGTTTGTAATCTGTATAGCTGGGTTGTCTCCGAAAGACGAAGAACAGGGCAGAGGAGAGACACCGGAAACACCACAGGATGATTTGTCAGAATGCTTATTCTCAGCCTCATTATTTTCAACTTCCATTCTTCTAAAAAGAAGGAGTCACGTTTTAAAAAGAGCTTGACGAGCTTGACAAAGAGGAAACAACAAGACTCAGCAAGAAAAAAAGGCTCCAATCGTGATTTAAACCCTCAGAACGGGAAGAGGGAGGCCAGGCGAGCTGTTCTGTGAAAGCTGGGTGTCAAACGGAGGCCAGAAGGGAGGCGCGTGGCTCACACGTGCCGGCGAGGCTGCTCTGCTATGGCGGCGCGTGGCTGACTTTCCGGCGACGGGGCTGACGCGGGTCGACTCGGAAATGGCTTCTGAGTCCAGTGGTGGCCTTGGTTTCGTGATTGGAGGGGTTCAGATATGGTTTCTGGGTTATAGAAGAAGAACAGTGAAGAGAAAATGAAAAAAAGGACGCGGAGGTTTACAAGATTACCATAGGATAACCTGTTTTTGATACCATGATGAAATATAAGACTGAAATGTTTTTTTCATATATTGATTGACACCCAAAGGGTTCTATATATACAGATTACAAGGTAGTTAAGGAGTTGAAGTAATAAATAAAAAATAAAAGTACACAATAAACGAAGAGGCATCACACTAATCAAAGAGACTAGACAAGTAAAAGACTCTAAAAGACTCTAGAATATTCTACAATAAGGGAGTCACAAACATCACCAAAATCAGAGGTAATCCAACAAGAATGAAGACAACATTCAAATCATACAAGAATGACCAGAGATCATATCACTTCCAACCAATCTAATAGTAGATTTGAAAGAAACCATCATCGTCCAAACGAACGAAGAAAGAAACCAGATTTACCAATGTTCTCAGGCGATTGCTTAGATAGAGAAAGACAAAGTACAAATGTAGAGATGGAGAAGCCACCGATTGCTCAGATTAAGAAGTACAAAATACAAACGCAACTAGCATCTTGACGACAAGTTGCTTAAAAGGAGTATTAATACCATACCACCCTAAGAGAAATTTAGGTGAAATAATTGTGCTGAGTCAACAATGTAATAGATTAGCCTAGAATATTACAGAATGGATTCAACATAATTTAGTTGGGGGAAAATTGGATATAGGTAGGGAGAATTGAAGGGAACACATGGAATCATCTTGACACTTGAGCTGGATAATGATGGTACCTGTGGGTTACTAACAATGTAATCAACTAAGGTTCAATTGAAAACAACAAATCAACATCAAACAGCAATTCTGAAATACATCCATGATACATTATATTCACTTTGATGAACTCACAAGAGTAAGGTTCCCCTAATTACAGAAAAACAAGAAATAACAGATCCCAACCTCTGACACAGTGACAAGGAAATACACTGAAACGTAAATGATTGTAGACTCAACAATACTGACTCTAAGGACTCTCAAATACACAACCACCATTATAGACTCCAAAAGAGACCCTCTAGCAATTACATAGCAACAAAAAACCCAGCTCCCACTACAAACAACCACCAGTCTGCAGAGTTCCCCAATTCCCTCCCTCAAGGTTAATGCCTATTTTCTGCTCCCTTTTATTTGCTCTCGCTTCCCATATAACAACCTCCAGTCACGTTTCCTTCCTTTCCAATATCTTCTTCGCCACTTAGCATCTGCCAGCTGTCCATTCCTTCCCTTTGTGTAACTAACTTCATTCTTTTAATATTTTCCTGGACCACCTCTTCACTTTTTCTTTACTTCTGTTTTGGCTGGGATCAGAAATAACTCCTTGGGTTGTTAGGCTTGTTGTCTCCTTATTGGCTTGTTGGGCAGCAATTTGTTGTTGGGCTGAACGCCTTTTATCTCTCCTTCTTTTATAATTTTTTGGAAATGGCTCAAGTGGCCCATCAGATATTGGGAGAGACCAAAACCTCTACAACATTCAAGAACATTTACTGTTATTTTCCATTTCCATTAGTGTAATCCTTTTGTTTGTAATTTGCTACCACTAGTGTAGCTTTTGTCATTCCTTTTCCAATAATTTGTAATCTATTATATATTCATTGGGTGCAACCAAACTTCAATACAAATTCCCTTTTCATTGTTAATTTATTTTCTTTATTCTTGTTGGTTCCTTAAAGTTGTTCATTCATGACTGAAAGGTCATGGGTTCGAATCCAGGAAAAAGCCTCTTTGCAATTATGCAAGGGTAAGGCTGCATACAAGGATTGCCTCCACCCCACACTCGCTAGTCGGGTTTAACGAGGAGTGATTTTTTATTCTTGTTGGTTCCTAACAAAATCTATCTATGGACGAGTATGTAGTAGATTAACCTCTAGTCACTATATTTTCTTTGATGGAAATTTAGATGCATGGAGTAAGAAACAAGACATAGTTGCCTCATCAAGTGCACAGGCTAAGTTTCAAGCCATGGCATAAGGAGTTTGTGAGTTACAATGGTATGATTGTGGGTTTTCAAGAGGCAAGATTTGAAATAGTGGAAAAACGGAAAACGGAAAATAGAAAGAAATAAGAGAGAAATAATTTTATTGATGAATGATCATAGAATGGGTACCAGAGGTGAACCTTTTCACAAAATGAAACTCTCCCTTTCACACTTGGAGCATCCCCGTCACAAAACATTCTCCAAAAGTATCTCTTGATAGAGGAGGTATCCCCTTGTATACATGTATGGAGGCTTCTCAGACAAGCCCCCACGGCCCCACTAACTACTCATAAATGGTTAACCTTGGAGTTGTTAACCCACTAACGCAACTAGATTGCTCTAGTTTTTGCTTTCTAGTATACAACTACCAAGTCTTGGGCCACCATATCTTTGTGCGTAACATATTATGTATGAAGAGTATATGAGATGACCTTAGAATGAAGTATGAAACTCCTATAAAGTTGTTTTGTGACAACAAATCAACCATTAGCATTGCTCATAATCTTGTTTAGTATATCATGACAAAACATTGAGATACACCAACATTTCATCAAGGAAAAATTGAATAGTCGATTGATCACCATAGCATGTGTTCCTTCAGGAATTCAGTTGGAAAATGTGTTAACAAAAGTGTTGCCGAATAAAGGTTTGAGGATCTTACTAAAAGCTAGTAAAGATACATATCCATTAACCAGGTTGAAGGAGTTTGTTGTAACAGTCCCACATTGGTAGCATTTGTAATTATCGTAAAATATTTTGTTACCAGGGTATATTATTAGTTATCATAGATTGAATTTATTTTAGGGAAAAAAATTATTTACCTTAGAGCACCCTTAAAGATGGATCATTCAGCTCCAACCAAATACATCAAAGAATCGCAGTAAGAAACAAAACAATACAAAGAAGAGTGGTAAAGTGATCCAATATCCAATGATCACCAAACATGTCAAAGTTGCAACAGAAGCTCATCTACAACAATGTTGTATAGCTAAAACCCATTGAATGAGACGGTCTTCATGGTAAGTCCATGGTAGTCAATAGCGCACGATAAAGGGCGCTACAGCATTATTGTAGCGCGTCGCGGCAACGCGACGCATTTCTTCAAGGTAGCGGCTGTGGCAGCCATTTTGCGGCAAATCACATAGTGAAAGGGGCAACTTTACATATTTTTCCTCATTTTGAAATCGTAACAAAAATATTTTTAGGGTGCTTTCGTCTTTTAACCCTTAAAGTATTTGAACCCTTTTCCCTTTCATTGAGACCACTTCTTGACTCCCTCTCTCTCGTTTCTGACCTGCAAGCAATGACCTTCGACAGCAAGCAGCGACCTTTGACGGCGACAACGACATTTCATTCGTGTGACTTCTCTCTCATGTCTCTGTTGCGTTCTCTTTCATTTATTTTTTTTCTGTTTTTGTTTATAGCGTAACCTTTAATTGTTTTTGGTCTGACATCCCTTTATTTTTTTAACTCTATTTGCTTTTCTTGTTTTTGGTTTTCAACTGTTTTTTTTTTTAAACCGTAAACACCCTTTAAATTATTATCTCACTCACTCTTACATTCACTTCATTTGAGAAACATTTTGTTTCTATCTTATTTTTTTATGGTGTTTTCTTTCTGAAGTTGTTAGATTACTTGCGCTACTGTCTTTTATTATTTTTTTATGGAGATGTTTTTAACTCATTTTTTTAATTGTAATTGAAAGTATTTTGTATCCTTTTAATTGATAACATTATTTAGAAGCCTTATTATGGTGTTGGGTTTATTTTTTAGCAATTTTATGTGTGGTATATATACCTATATAACAGGTTCATGCATGGGACTCCGCTATTGCGCTACCGCTACCCGCTATAGAGTTTTCAATCTGCCGCTACTCGCATTTGATAAATATGCGTAAGTGTAGGGATTAGGAGACATTTTCCTGAGGTACCGATTCAAAATGCCGGTAAGAATGGAAACCCATTAAACAGATAGAATTTCAGTTAAGCAGCATAGTGGATACAATCGTACTGAATACCAAGCTTGCTTTCACAACTTCATGCAAACAGAAACGGTTTTTGTACCTTGGCATAACATTCAATTAACTCCACAACAATTGGGGACAAATAGATTAAGACACTTCACACTGACATACATGCATATTCTAATTAATGACATAGTATTCTTAAAGGAAAGATTAAGTACAGATTTGATAACCATCTGTCAAATTCTGAGGAAATTTGCCTGCCAGCACAACTTGGAGATGAAAGAAATAGAGAAAAAATGTCAATTGAACTCTTGATTACCTGGGTAATATAAAAGTAAATTCTGAAGAGGAGAACAAATATATTGATCCTTAGTGACCCCATCTTGCTTCAAAGATGTACATCTCAAGACATTATGCAACTTAGAATCACCACTTAGATGCATCTGTAACTCCTGAACAGCTATATTTCATACCAAAGTCAAAAGTTGTAAAGATGCATGCATAAACCATGAAAAATAGACAAATACTAAATTGTCTGCAAGTTTATGCATGGAAAATGCACCATTACCTTGGGATAGAACTTCAAGATCCGTGTCCTTCTCATTAAAAATTACTGGGCTCCTAAAATTTCTAAACAATATGTAGCACGCACCTTCCTCTATCTGTAAATATCAAAAGAAGCATAGTAAATAAAATGTACCCAACAACATCAAGTATACATTTGTAAGAAAATACGTTAAAATTAAGGTTGTTAGTTAGTAAGTCAAGAACCAAACCAACTCTCCTAAAGGCTAAAAGTTTGAGCTATTAAACGAAAGTTCATGACTGACTTTAAATCTAATCTTTGGGCTTGAAGCATGGATAATACTGTTAAAACACATGTACCACCCACAAGACAAGTGTAGATACAGGGGCAAGAAAAAGGGCAGGGGCAGGGGATTATACCTCTTACATTGTGTTGAGGCATAATAGAATTGTGGGAATGGGTTGTTAACAGACCGCTATCACGGCATTAGCTAGACAGTTGACTAGGAAGTTAGAATAAAGGAATCTGGTGAGATTGCAGAGGAGGCAGAAAAAATATTGGAGTACTCTTGAGAGAGAGTTTAGCCTCTTGAATGCTAGTGGGTTCTGGTGTACTGTATCTTGTTTATATGGTATTCCACTAAATCCAATACTGGACTTGCTCTTGCATCTGTGTTCCTCTTTTGCTGAGTTCCATTAAATACACAAGCTCACTCTATCTTGTGCCAAAATTCAACTTCTTATTCAAAAGAATGGAACTAGCAAGGATCGAACTCTTGAACACTTGATCAGAGGCTCTAATACCATTATAAGGACCAACTGTCCTAAAGAATTCAGCTGTTATGTGAAGGTTCATCATTAGTTTTATATATAATCTAAGCTAAGCTATTGTTGAGATATATAGTCCCACATTGGTTGTATGTGCAACTAATGTGGAGTTTATAAGGCCTTGGGCACTCCCATCCTTTGAGCTAGCTTTTGGGGTGGTGTATCCCAAGGTTCTTTACATGGTATATTTGGTATCAGAGCCGGATTGGGCTCGAGCTAGCCTAGTGATTGGCTAGGAGGCGGGTCGAGTACTTTACGCTTCGGGTACTCGGTTGAGGGGGAGCATACCAATGGTGGGTTTCACACTTGAGGGGGAGATTGTTGAGATATTCAAGTGTGATGAGTCCCACATTGGTTGGTAATGAGCTAAGTGAAGAGTATATAAGAGAAAGGACCCATGAACCCAATGCCTTAAGGTTTTGGGTTGAGACATGGTGTCGGATCCACTTGCTACGGTTGGTGTAGCCTTAGCTCATTGGTGGTGGTTCCCCGCCACGGGCTTCCCCTGGACCCGCTTGACATTGGAGTTTGAGGGAACGAATTTCCTAACAGTGGTATCAGAGCCTCGCCGCCCCCCACTTTCTCTTGTGGCGTTTCTTAGCACAGGTAGGATGGGTCTGTTGCATTGTCCACTCTTCAAGCCCAATGGGCTCTTGTGTGAGGGGGCGTGTTGAGATATATAGTCCCACATTGGTTGTATGTGCAACTAATGTGGAGTTTATAAGGCCTTGGGCACTCCCATCCTTTGAGCTAGCTTTTGGGGTGGTGGCCTTAAGGTTCTTAACATGGTATCAGAGCCTCGGTGTACCGGGTTCGAACCTCACCGCCCCCCACTTTCTTTCAAGTGGAATTTCTTTGCTCGCACAGGTAGGTGTGCCTGTGCATTGTCCACCTTTCAAGCCCAGTGGGCTCTCGTGTGAGGGGGCGTGTTGAGATATATAAAATCATTAATGTAACCTCACCCAACAACTTAAGCTTTTGGGTTGAATTGGTTTTTTACAGCTATGAATCTCCAAACTGTATATTGTGAATCATCAGGAAGAAGTGCTTTCAAAGTAATTGCACTAACAACTCAAATTTCAAGGAACACTAATTCCTTTTAAATTCCATACTTTATCTAGACAATTTTGGGAATTGCAGTAATGATTCTAAATTTGTAAAGCCAATTTTGATTTCACAATAGTTTATACACAACTATCATAGATCACATAATTGTATTTCATTTGCTTGAGAAAATTGGACCAGAGTAAACAAAATCTTCTTTTCTACAGCCCGCTAGTCATTCAGACAGCATTTTCTGAAGATTTTTCATCAAATGGGTCTTATCAAAGTAAAAGTAACTCTCTACATTGGGTAGATAACAAATACCATTTTAAACCTGTGATTGCTATACGTCATGTCATATCTTTGCGAGTTGTATTGTACCATCTTTCGAGAATCCCATTAGAAAGTGCATCTCTACGGCATATAATTTCTATTTCAAATTTAAATTATATAAATATATATATTTATATATTTTACATTTTTTCTTGTTATTGTTAATCACTATGTATATATATATGGTAAAATCATTTCTGCAGCCGCTTTACGTATAGCAACGACATGTGTATAGTTATGATTCTCTACATTTAATGCTTTCATCCTTTGCATGGTTATGATTCCCTGCATTTAATGCTTTCAAGTATATATATGGCAAGTATTTGATTGCTGCATATACAGCAGCTGTAAAAATGTAAATCCCTATATATATATATATATATATATATATATATATATATATATATATATATATATATATCACAATTCTTTTAATTAAGAATATGTACTTAAATATGAATTAATATAATCCCATATATTGTTTATGCATTATAATAGGAAAGAAAAATGGATTGCAGCTAACTTTTTATATCTCAAGAAAAAGAATAACTCTTCTACAAAACAATTGATAGCTTTTGCCGCAGTCAAGCTTCTAAATTCCTAAGCTTCTAGGAGTCAGTCTATTGACAGAAATTCTATCCAACACTGCCATGGGTTAAGCCTGCATCCTTTCTATACTGCATGTTCAATAAGAACAAACTATGTATTTTTAGCAGATGAATTAAATATTCTAGTTTGCAAGTTCTCTGGGTAACCACTCTGAACCCATCAGTCAATGCGCAGAGGTTTAGGCAGATTTAAAGGACATAGGTCCTTAGGATTTATAAAAATCAAATTGTCATTTTTCATTTCAGGCATAAAAAAATTAAGTTTTTACCGAAGACCTACGTTAAAATGCTTGTCTTTTGACAAGAAAGGTATTAAGGTATACAAATAAAACTATCAGCAACCTTAGGGCCTGTTTGATTGTTTTATGTTTTTTTTGTTCTTAAAACTATTTTATAGAACAGTTAATAAAATATGTGTTTTCTATTTTATTTTATTTTTTTGTTTTGAAAGTTAAAAGTTAAAACACAAAACAAAAACAACTAAAATATGTTCTCTGAATTTGAATCTAAAAACTAAAAAACAGTTATAATTTTTAAAGCTATTTTTACAAAACAGGCCTTATCAAACAAGTTTTTTAATTTTTTTTGTTCTAAAAATCAAAAAACAGTTTTTGGAAACGGGAATTCAAACAAGCCCTTAGTCTTTAGTTTATGGTTCCATGTGTAAAGACAAATTATAGTCCTTCCTTAACAAATCATCTTTGATATGCTGCAACATACTATCTGCCTACAATAGTTTTAATGAGGATGGAGATGGAATTGAGTTGCAAGAACAAATCGACCATATCTTATAAAGATTTCAATTGAAAACAATCACTACTTGATTGTTGTGTTGGCTGATATATTTACTAATCAAAAAATGGGCCTGGAAAATTTTCGCAAACAACTACACAAACAACATTCATCATTGCAGACATATTAGTCTTTAAATGCAACAAATTTTAATGTATGTAAGAAGCTAAACAAGAGATTTCACCACACCTCAGAAAATGTCCGCTGAGACAACAAAATGGGGAATGTTATATTTTCTGTCATCAGTAACTGGATAAGCTGCATTCCGTCAGCAGGAGTGTGAATTGCTTTTAGGCCCATAATAATAATATTAGGGAACCTGCCACCAAAATATATTTTAACTACAAGAAAAAAAGCATCTCTACTTGTATCAAGTCTAGGAAGAGAAGAAATAATATCCTTCCTCTACCTCTTCTGAATTGTCTTCAATTTTTCAAACATAATGCAGTGGTCAAAAATTCTGGCAGCAAGAACCAAAAAGATCCCTTCAGCCCTGAAAAGTTGTTTATTTTTGTGTGATCTATTTAACCAATAATGATGGGTGCCTGCAATATCAAATAAGAAGAAATGATTAAATAGGGGGAAAGTAGAGAAGATGGATCGATCAATTAATGCACTATATGTTAAATGCAGTAACAAATGTGTCTTAGAATTAGATCCATGTAATTGTAATACAAAAAATGTAGCACACAATTCAAAAATAAAAAGTATAACTGAGCAAATTATCATCTCATTCAACTGAAAAGTAAAAAAATTGCAGGTCATACTCAGAACTCCCTATTTCAATGACACTCGTCGCACATTCACAAGGTTTAAAAATAAAAAGAAGTTGCTTTTCAAAACAAAAACCAAGCATGAGCATATAGATCATAAAACTAACGCTCAAAAAATGTAGGATATGAAAAGTAGTACATTAGCATAACAAATACCTTCAAACTCATCCAGCGAAGCTTTAATGAAAGACAAAAGATCAATTTCAGAGGCAGGTTCATGCGATACATCAGCCATTGTTGAAAACCTGAATGAGACTGTTAATCAGAAGTCAGGAAACCTAACAAAGCTAGAAAATCATAAACGATGAGTGTTCAGAATTTAACATTCATAAATAACGACTTTCTCTGTAACTTATTTTGTTTTGCTATGCTGTCAGCCTCAAAAACTTCAACAGAAACAAACAAGAGTAAAGCCCCTTGTCCCTTACAAAGACAAAAAACAAGCTACTCACTTTAGTCCTTTAAAAAAAAATTAGTCGCCTGGTTTATATGAAATTCAAAGTGGACTCATTTTAGTCCTTTTGAAGGACTAATGTGGGTCTTTTTTGAATTTGTGAGAGACCACGATTTCAACTAAATGAATCCATTTTGAATTTCTTAGATACGACTAATTTTTTTTATAAGGGACTAAAGTGGGGACATCATTTTTTTTTGTTAGAGAGCAAAAGGAACTTTACTCAACAAACAATCACCAAACCACTCGATACCCTATAGGGGGGAAGTTGAACCTTCAAAAGTTATTACCTATGTTCATGAAACCCTCTCACTGGAGTCCAATTAGCAACTGACTTTGGAGCAGAAGGTATTGGCATTATAGACAATGCCAATAACTTTAAAGCTTTGCCAGATTGATGATAACAATCCCCTAGAAAGACCAGAGGGAAGGAGGGAGAAGGGAAAAGTTAAAAAAAAATACATCAAAATTGGTTCAGAAAATTAATATATTGAATAGTTATAGACAATAAATTCATGTTGTACTCATCAAACTTCAGTACCATAAAAACTCAAATAGCATTTTCATAATTCTAACATCTCCTCAGAAAAGAAAAATCTTTTCTAGGAAGGCACGGGGATAAGACACTGATGCACAGACACGATTTTAGAGAAATGTGTGTGGGACGCGTGTAGAACATCGACACGCTCCGACATGTTTCGACACGCGGTCAATGTTTTCGACATATTTTTTTTTTAAGATTCAAATTTTATTTGATTTTATCATTTTAACAAAACATGAAAAATTATCAAATATTTTCTGTTATAGAATTTGGCATGAAAATTAACAAGGCATGAAAAAATTATTTTTGTTTTATACTTATTATGAAATTTGAATATTTGATTAGTTATATTATTTTTTATGAGTTGCTATATGTATTAAAGTAAATTATATTATATATATTAAAGATATTATTTAATATGAAAAGTCAAAATTTTAGAATCAACATGTCAGTGTGGTGTGTCATATGATGCAACATAAGAATGTATTACAACTTTAGGCATACAAGGAAAATGGGCAAACAAATACACAGACAACAATGATTTTTTTTTAAAAAAATATTTCTTTTCTTTTTCTTCTTCTCTGTCTCTTTAAATTTCAAAGCAACCAAAACAGATAGAGTAATCTACTGGACAAAATCTCAAGTTGGAAACATTGTGGAAGATGGGTAAAAGAAAGATTGGAAAAGGAGCACACCTGGGTAGACAACGGGTGATAGAAACCTTGCGATTTCCTTCACACGACGATACCTCAGAGCCATCTCTCTCTCTCTCTCTCTCTCTCTCTGAGTGTGTATGTGTCTGGAGATTTTGAGATTTTAAGGTGAGCGAGGGTTTTAAGGTTTAAGATGCCCGACTCCCCGTAAAAGAACCCGAATAAGATAACATGGGGGTTGGCAATTAAGCGGGTATGGATTAAACCGAACCATCCCAATTTCATCTGTAAGATGCAAAAACTCGCGGATCGGGTAAATCTGGATCGACCCAAACACTTTCCTGGGATTTAAGCACATGTTGTGATATTATAATTAAGCAATTTTTTTTTCGGAAGAGTAATTATGCGGTTTTTTTTTTTTTTGAGATATGTGAGAAAAATATATGGTATTTTGAAAATATTTATCCTTTTAAATGTATAAGTTTGTGTTATTTTAAATAAAATAATATTATTTTTGTACATAATTAATAATTTTTTTATATTTTCTCTTCATAAAATTAGGAAAAGAGAGAAAATAAAGAAGAAAGAATTAAAAAAATTACTAATTATATAACAAACCGATATTAATTCATTCAAAATAACAAAAGTTATATATTTTGAAAGAACAAATATTTTTTTCCGATACGTAATTATACACTTTCTAGTAATGAATATATTTTAAGAAAATTTATAAAAGTACCTATTGCTACGGACTTTATTCCAGTACCATATTATGTGTTGGAAATTAGAGTTCACTTTATTAATTTTTTGAAACTACAAATTGAGTAATAGAAAATCCATAATTTATATTACTCAATTTATAATTTGTATAATTACGTAATTTTATTATTCAGTTTATGATATTTAACATAAAATCTGTATTTTTTTTAAAAAAAAATGCTAGGAATGGAGTACCTAACAGAGAAAGAATTAGAGAAAACAAAAATGAAATTTGGTTTTTTATTTCTTAAATGATTCTTGATCTGGATAAAATATGATAGGTTCATCAAAGATTAAAATCCATAGAGCAAGTCCCAAACCCACTAGGCCCATAATGAGGCGCGATGTCATCAATCGCGCATTAGAGAGCGCGATGTTACCATCGCGCCCAAACCGCCCTTCAGCATAACTACAGAGATAAGGAAGCAATCACAGGAACTAATAAAGATCTACCGCGCCATTAAACAAATAAACATAAGACAGCACCAGCTTGCCACCTGTTATGGATATAGCAACAACTCCACCTTTTTCTCCTCTAGTTGTGCGCCACTTAGATCAGAATTTTAAGTGAAAAATCTGATTTCAATAATCTCATTCACTCACTCTCTTGTGCACACACTTTGGGAAGTTCTCCTTAAGGTTTCACAAAAATAACCTAGCCTTTTCTAAGAGCATCCATGCCCCACTTTTGTGAAGTTTTCATGCTGAAGACTTCACTCTTCTAAACACATTTACCTAGCCTCCTCCTTCACACATTGGACGCCTAGCAAGCTTTTATGGTGATCAATTGGTGGCTTTTCAAGAAGAGTTCTTGCATCTTGACGTGTGGTGGTGTGGATCAACGTTAGAGGGTTTGAACTCTTCAAACCTGACACTGATCTCATTGGTGTTTGAATCACAAACAAAGGTAATATCATGTTGTCTTAAAGCATGAGTCTTGATTGCATGTGTGTTTCCGCTTGGGAAAAATTTTGTTTTTCCCTCTCACATGCTTCGGCCTTCAAGGCCATTTTACTTTCAGAGGAGGCTAACGATAGCCCATTTACTGAAAGGCTCATGAACTTGGCAATTCCGTCGAGATTCAAAAGTGCCAAGATACCTCCCTATGACGGGAGTTAGGACCTAGATGTCCACTTAGAGGCGTTCAAGACCGAGATGCTGTTCAACGGGATAACTGGACCTATTAAGGCCAGAATCTTCGCGACGACACTGACAGGTCAGGCGATGGCATGGATAACAAGGCTCCCCAGGAACTCGATCGATTCATTCGAGGACCTGGCTCAAACCTTTCGTCTGAATTTTGCTACAAGCAAAGCACATCCGATGCCGGCTTACGCCTTAGGAAGAATTCGTCAAAAAGAGAATGAATCATTGAGGAAATACCTCGATCGATTCAAAGATGCTTCCCTCAAGGTCCAGAACCTGACTGAACCGGTGCACCTGCATCTAATCATCTCAGGATTATATGGTGATTCTCCACTCGCAAAGTCAATCTATAAGAACCCGGTCAACGATTTGGAGGAGTTCCGACGTAGGTCGGACAAGTACATTGACGTTGAAGACATGCAGAAGGCTTGTGGGGAGTCCATAGGACGAAGCCCTAATCGTCGGAGCCCAAGCAAGAAAAACAAAGACCGGGATCAGCGGGGGTCGAAAAAAGAAAACGACGCTCATGACAAGAGATTGGATGACCGATCTCCAAGGACCAAGTATGACACTTACACGCCATTAAACATGTCCAGATCTCGGATATGAAAAAAAGTGGCTCAAACTGAAATGCGCAACGTCGAAAGACCTCGACCCCTCAAGAGCAAGAGCGGATTGGACAGGAACAAATACTGTGCTTTCCATGATCAAAATGGTCACACCACGGATGACTGCTGGGACCTCCGAGATGCTATTGAGAAACATGTCAGAGAGGGAAAATTGAAGCAATACATTATCCGAACTCAGGGTAAGAAGAATAGTAAGCGAAGGCAAAGAAGCTGGAGCAGAAGTCGCAGCCCGAATAGAGAGGATATGAAGGATCAGGAACAAGACCGCCCTTCGAAGGACAAAAAGGTCGAAGATAAAGACGAGGAATTCCAAGAAGCTGAGTTTGAGTGCAACGTGATAAACGAAGCTTTGGGTGGAGGAGGCGACACGACAAATGCAAGAAGAAAGCACCTGAAGGAGGTCATGTCATTAAGAGATAGGCCGACCTTCAAAGGGAAAGCCAGCAATCCTGCTCCCCCAAGACTGTTCTTTACTCAAGAAGACCTAGAAATGGTCGTACCTGGACACAACGATGGTCTGGTGATCACCGGGGTGCTAGTTAAGTGCCAGGTTAAGAGAATCTTCATTGACCACGGAAGCTCGGCGGACATAATTTTTGGAACGCTTTCCAAAGGATGAACTTGGATGAAAAAGACTTGAAACCATGTTCCTCCAAGCTGATTGGGTTCAAAGGAGAGCCATCCCTTCCAAAGGGCTAGATAGACTTGAAGCTGACCTTAGGAACGAATGACTCATTTCGAGCTGGAAGGGTTCGGTTCGTCGTAGTAGACGCTTCTTCTTCCTACAACGTGATCATTGGCCGACCTACAACCCACGACTGGGACATGTTAATCTCCACCAAGCATCAAGCACTGAAGATGCCGAGGGCAAAGAACCAGGCCATCACCATAAGGGGAGATCAGAAAGAATTCAGGGAGTGCTACTACGAGACTCTAAGGATCAATCACGGAGGTCCATCATCTCCCCCTTGGCTCAAAAGTGGAAGTAAAGCCTCCACCAGAGACCAATCGTTATACCCATGTGGAAACAAGGTAAATTTGGTCGAACTGGACATGAGGGAGGAGCTCCAAGCACCTCATCCAGAACTCCAAAAAGAGCTGGAAGACGTCAGTATTGGGGTGGACGGTAAAGGACACACCAAGGTAGGAAAAGGGCATGGAGGTCGAAACCAAGAAGGAGCTGGTCTCTTTCCTCAAAGAAAACTCCGACTTGTTTGCATGGAGGGCATCGGAGATCCCGGGAATAGACCCAACCTTCTACTGTCACAAGCTTTCCATGTACCCCGGGTCGAAGCCAGCGTCTCAAAAGAAGAGAAAAATAGGCCCTAACCGACGTCAGGCTTTGAACGAGCTCGTGCACGAGCTGCTAGAAGCCGGTTTCATTAGAGATATACAATACACCACTTGGCTGTCCAACGTGGTAATGGTAAAGAAACCGAATGGGAAGTGGAGAATTAGCGTGGACTACACCGACCTCAATAAAGTCAGCCCAAAGGACTCGTACTCGATGCTGAACATTGACCAGCTAGTTGATAATTCATCAGGATTTCAGCTACTGTCATTCATAGATGCATACTCCGGATATAATCACATCCCGCTACACCCAGATGACCACGACAAGACCGCATTCATCTCGAAAAAGGGAAATTTTTGCTACAACGTCATGCCTTTCGACCTCAAGAATGCCGGGGCGACCTATCAAAGGATGATGAACCGGGTTTTCCAAAGTCAAATTGGAAGGAACCTGGAAGTATATATTGACGACATGATCGTCAAATCCACACACGTAGCTACACATGTGGTCGACTTAAGAGAAACGTTTGAGCAACTAAGAGCTCATAGAATCAGATTAAACTCGGCCAAGTGCGCTTTTAGGGTACCAGCTGGAAAGTTTTTGGGCTTCATGCTCACCAACTGGGGAATCGAAGTCAACCCCGACAAATGCAAGGCCATCCTCGAGATGAAGCAATCGGAAAGCAAGAAAGAAACTCAACAGCTCAAAGGTCGCCTTGCGGCCTTAACCAGGTTCCTGCCTAAGTCGACAGTAAAACCCTTGCCTTTCTTCAAGCTCCTGAAAAAGGAGGCGGAGTTCGGATGGGGAGAAGACTGCAAAAGGGCATTCGAAGAAATAAAGAGTTGCTTAGCCACCTCACTTGTACTATCGAAGCCAGAGCCCGGAGAAACGTTGATCTTATACCTTTCTGTGGGTGAAGAAGCCATTAGCGCCGCTCTAGTAAGGGAGACTGACAAATCACAACAGCCGATCTACTTTGTAGGACGGCCACTGCAAGGACCTGAACTCCGATACCAGAAGCTTGAAAAGGTGGCGTTCGCTTTGCTTACCACGGCAAGGAGGCTCTGACCTTACTTCCAAGGGCACCAAATAGTCGTGAGAACCAACCAGCCCATCAGACAAGTGTTACATAACCAGATCTAGCTGGGAGGATGATCAACTGGGTCGTCGAGCTCTCAGAATTCGACATATCATATGAACCCCGGCAGGCAATCAAGTTCCAGGCATTGGCCGACTTCATCTTGGAGCTAAATCCGTCCAAAAGGAAGGAAAAAGAACACGAAGACCTCTGGACAATATACGTCAGCGGATCCTCAAACTCTAAGGGGAGCGGAGCTGGGGTGATAGTTGAAAGCCAAGAGGGAGTGTCCATTGAACACTCACTTCACCTTGCATTCCCGACCTCAAATAACCAAGCTGAATATGAAGCTTTCATCGCAGGAATTTTGCAGGCAAAAGAGCACGACACAAGAAGGATAAAAATCCTCAGTCATTCGCAGCTGGTAACTTCACAAGATGAAGGAAAGTATCAAGCTAAGGGGCCCCTCATGATGAAGTATCTCCAACAAGTCAAGGAGTTGTTGGCCGAGTTTGATGAGGTGGTGGTCCAGTACATACCTCGAAATGAAAATAGTAGAGCAGACATCTTGTCAAAGCTCGCCAGCTCAAAGGGATCAGGAAATCATCGTACAGTGATACAACAAAGCATCCCAGAGCCAACCTGCGTCATGGTAATAACCAAGAATGAAGACTGGAGAAGGCCAATAGTGGCCTACTTGGAAAAAGGAGTCCTTCCCGACGAGACCCAAGAGGCCAGAAAGCTCATGAGAAACTGGCCTGTTTCACTATAGTGGAAGGGCAGCTCTACAAAAAAGGTTTCTATACACCCATACTGAAATGCCTAAATAAGAATGAAGCTGAATACGCGCTGGCCGAGATCCATGAAGGCATAAATGGGCATCACATGAGAGAAAAAGCTCTAGCTAGGAAGGCACTTAGGGCAGGATACTACTGGCCTACTATGGAGGCGGACGCGCAAGAGCACGTCAAAAGGTGCGAACAATGTCAGAAGCACGAACTCATCCTTCGTGCACCCCCCGAAGAGCTACAAACCATCACGGCACCCTGGCCATTCTACAAATGGGGGATGGACCTGTTGGGACCTTTCGCCGCGGCCGAAGGACAACTCAAATGGTTGATAGTGGCGGTTGACTACTTCACCAAATAGATTGAGGCTGAACCCCTCACCACCATAACCTCGGCCAGGATTCAAAGATTCTTTGAAAGAAACCTCATCAGTCGATTTGGAATTTCCTGCCGAGATCATTATGGACAATGGAACACAATTCGCTGATAAGAAGTTCCAAGAGTTAATGGCCGACTTCAAGATCACGCACCGATTCGCATCAATGGAGCATCCTCAGACAAATGGACAAGCCGAGTCAGCTAACAAGGTGATCATCAACGACCTCAAGAAAAGGTTGTTCGATGCTAAGGGAAACTGGATGCAACAACTACACCTTGTCTTATGGGGGTACAGAACAAGTGCCCAATCTGCCACAGAGGAAACTCCTTTCAAGCTGACATACGGGTGTAAGGCTATGATCCTAGTAGAGATCGGAGAACCGTCCTGGAGAAGGGTGCAAAGACTACAAGGAACTGAGGAACAAAACAACGAAGCACTAGTTGTGGAACTCGACCTGCTGGATGAAAGCAGGGAGAAAGCTAGATATAAGAATATGATGGCAAAATGTCTGGTGACGGCTAGGTTCAATAAAAAGGTCAGACCTCGGTCATTCCAGAGCGATGACTTGATACTGAGGAGAGCAAACATCGGAAACAAGAATGCCAGAGATGGGAAGCTCGCCGCAAATTGGGAAGGCCCTTACAGAGTTAAGGAAAACCTGGGAAAATGAGCCTACACTTTGAAAACCATCCCATTAGTAATGAGGCCAGGGTTCAGAACCTGGGCTTGAGCAATAGCATTGGCGAAATCTCTAGTGGCAGCATTCACGACCACGGCCTTCGCCTCTTCGAAATCATCTTGAAGCTTTTGGATCTGAGCATCCTTGTCGGCCAAAGACTTAGTAAGGGTCTCCTTCTCGACCCTCAAACCTTCTGCCCTGGTATTGGCCGACCCCGAAGTCTTCTTAGCCTCAGAATGCTGCAAGGACAGATACTCAACTTTCATTTCAAGATCGAACTTAGCCTTACCGAGCTCGTCATGCTTCCTCAAAAGCTCATCCACCTTGATAGTGAGAGATGAGTTAGACGCAGCAAATAGATCGAGCCTTTGAAGGAGATCCTAGAAGGATTGGAGCAAAAAAGATGTTTTCATAGAGTCCTCCTCTAACCGAGCTACCAGGGCCCTAAGATCGGAAGTTAAGGTCGAGCTGCTGAGGGGGTTTCAGAACGGCCCTAAGTCGGTCTGAAACTCTGACCTTCCACAACTTCCCAGGTTCCAAGACAATCACGTCCCCTTGTGCGACCACCGAAGGTGGGGGAGTGGAGATGATGAGGGAAGAGTAGGAATATCGGCTGAGACCATCTCAGCATCCACCGAATTGCCACCAAGTATGGAATCAAGCCGTCATTTCTTTGAGACCTCCCGCTCTAGGGAGGAAACTTCTTTAGCTTTCCATTTGGAAGTTTTCTTGGGCTTAGGCAGAAACTTTTTGTACTCGGAACTCGTCATGCTGACTACAAAAGAGGATCAAAGATCAGAATGCAAGTTATAAGTTATGCAAAAAATAAACCAAGAAGATAAACCACATACCGAGCTACAAAAGGACATCTTCCCCAAACTTATCTACAATCCGACTTAGATCAATAATGCCATATTCGTCGGCATATTCGATCAGAACGGAATTCGCCAACCTTTCTGAACTGGAAAGAGCTGCCACTGGGGTAGCATAGTCTTTAGGACGCCTTCAATAATGCTTTTGCATCCAGTACAGTTCGAATCGACATGATAGATCCCCATTGTCCAGCCATTCTTCGGCGAACCAGGGAAGAGAGTCAGAACGAGATGCCACCTTAAAATAGGCATCCTTAAAGCCCTTGAAGGATTGAGAGTAAGAAATAAAGATACCCCTACCTGGAGTACCCCGAAGGGTTACCCACCCCTTCCTTTCTTTAGCCTCGGCACCAGTCCGGGCGGTATATACATCAAATAAAAAGAAGAAAAGAGAAATTGTGCAAGGCAGACAGAGGTAGGCACACACTTGCTCAAAACCTCGAATAAAAGCCCATGAATTGGGATGAAGCTGCGAGGGCACTGATCAACCCTTGGTTTACCATGTTTTTAGGCTTAATTATGATTGATA